TGAGGTAAGTGATAGGAGCCCACCCTGCCATGCAGTGCCTGGACTCGAACTGCTGGAGCTGAAACTGTTTCTCAAAAGTCATTAAGTCACTGAGCCACCATGCCTGATTATGGGTGTGGATAATTATGATGTGGGACATTCGCACACCCAACTGTCAACTGTCAATCAATAGCCCAAACGATAAGTGTAATCCATTTGGATTTTTTTAAAAAATGGGAGACTGCTGAAATAAGCTGACATAATAGATTGGTACACAAACCTCATTGGTGAGCACAAAAAAAAAAGTTGTCAAAAAAAGGAATAAGAACCAGGTGTAATTACTGTATATAGAAGTATCAGCAGCCTTGACATTGAGTAAAACTTGAATGATCAACTAAATTCAGGAATGCCCATCTTCTATCGAGGTCTGGTTATTTTCAAGACTGCTAACTTAGAAAAGAATGTGTCCATCAAAAAAGGTTTGGAAGAGACGGCCTACTTGGGAACTAATAATCATCACTTATTTCTGCAGAGGTGTAAAACCTGATTCTGGGAGAGAGCTTTTGGGGGAGGTCTGTTTCTGATTGGTAGCATCGTTTTTTTAAAAATTATATATCATATTTAGAAACTGCCCATCTCCCTCATAGTGCAAGTCTGTTATAGTTGAAGTAGCTTTTTTTGCTCTTTTTAATCCTTGTTGATGAAGTACACCAGTCAGAGTTAGTTGGAAAAGAGCAGCATAGAAATGTTAGCACAAAACAAAACAAAACAAAACACAAAATTTTATTGATTTAGGTTTTTCACAAAAAACCTAAATCAAGTTGCACCATACTCTGAAAGTTGTTATGGTTGGGCTTTTTTTCTTTCCTTTGTTTATTGTTTATTTATTGATTAGATTTGTATGCTACCGCTCTCTCTACCAAGCGACCTGGCTTTTAAAAACGGTTGCTTGTTTACAGTCAGGTAGTTGTGTTGTACACATCTAATATACAGTACTTGGAAAATAAACATATTCATCTAACACTTATTGATGTTACCCAGTTTGGGAAATGAAACATCTGCAAGAAAACAGCCAAGCTCAGAGCACCGAGGACCCTTCATGTTGATCCTTTTCCCAATCCCAAACCAATTTTGAAGATGGCTACCATGCATTCCATAGGGTTGTTATAGTTGAACATAGAAAATTAAATTGCTTGTTTCCACTCTCTTTCTGTCTTTCTTTCTCTAGTTTCTACTACTCACATGAGCGAAGAGTCTTTCAAAACAGAACTGGTGATTCCTTCAGCCCATCTTATGGATGAGGGGAATTACACATGTACAGCTGCCAACTTCCTTGGCAACTCCTCGGCTAGCACAATGCTGGACATTCTGGCTCCTCAACTAGCGACACCATCTTATTCTTCCTCAATCATAGATGAGAAGGCCTTCATCGACTTGCAGATTGCCAAGCAGACGGTCTACGGGATTACTCTGGAATGGTATACCGTGGCTGAAAATCCGGAGGAAACCTGGTATACCCTCCATTTTGGCAAATACGATGAGGCTAAGAAAGACATGGTTTATATTGGGCCTGGGATCAACACATACTCCATTAACAATTTGCTCCCTGTTACCAAGTACGAAGTGTGCATAAGTCTGAGGAAGCAGGTGCCCCCAAAGAGCCAGTGTATTGTGTTTGTGACAGGAAGTGACATCAGTGAATTGGAACAGAGAGGGCAGATGATCCATATCATTGTCGTTATATGTGCCATGGTATTGGTGGTCCCTGCTGGGATGTACCTATGTACTTCAGAGGCCAGGTGCAGCTGCAAAGAGAAATGTGCTAGCTGCTGTATCAAGAAATGGAGCACAAACATCAAAGGCGCACCTACAAAAAGCAAATTTGATAGTTTGCCAGGAGGCAGTGAAGAAGGGCTGTGCCACCAAGACTCCAGTGATGACCAGAAGCAGCAGAAGGAAAGCAAGGAGAAAGAGGAGAAAGCAAAGAAGCGGGCGGCTGAGGGTCAAAACAGCGCTGATCTCTATTAGCTATTATCCATCCAGGCCCCCACCAGGAGGAGAGATGGAAGCTTTCCATCCAGACGAATCAGTAGATAGATAGTTAGATTGATGGATGAATCAATTTAACTTGTGTGCCTCCTCAATAATGAAGCAGCAGGAGGAGGAGAAGCAGGAGGAGGAGGAAGAGGAGGAAAAGGAGAAGAAGGAGAAGGAAGAAGAGGAGGAAGAAAAGGAGGAGGGAGGAGGAGGAGGAAGAAGAAAAAGAGGAAGAGGAGAAGCAGGAGGTGGAGGAGGCGAAGAAGAAGAGAAGGGGAGGGGAGGAGGAGGAGACATAACATTTCAGATTTAACAATTGTTTATAACAAAGACAAAAAGTTTGGATAGTGGATGCGACACTACCTGGAGACAGTAGAATAGAAAGTCACAAAATCCAAAGACCTACAAAGAGAAGTAGAATGATTGTGGCAAAAGCAATAAAAGATAGCACCAATAGTGATGGTGTCTTGGGTGCAATCCCAGTCCATCAGAAGCACCACTTGAACCCTGTTGACTAAATCACCATCCATCAATTGCAAAAGGCAGCTTTACTTGGAACAGCTTATATCCTGTGACGATACCATTATCGCCATCAAACAAGAACAACTTGTCTATCCTGGGTCCTTGGGAAGGACTCGATGATAGGCGGGTAAGAAGACCACATCCCATATAAATCCTGTCTGCTGTATCTGGCTGACTAGGTGTCCAACCTCCACCACCACCACCACCACTATCGTCATATCCAACAACACAGTTGGGAAGGACAAAACAAAGTCCATTAACAGCCATAAAACATGAAACCAACATCGGGCCAGTTGGAATAGCCAAGTTTTGAAAGAATTGTGAGATTGAAGGTTGTATGGATTTACAAGAGACACAGTTTTGTAGTTGAAGTCAAAGAGGGAGGCTTAGTTTCCAGGTCCCAAAATATGGTGAGACCTGGAAGGAGCAGATGACCTAGATCAGCGAGTGAGAATGACAATAGTATTGACATACAATGACATACAAGTTCCAAAAATTACAAAACCATAAAAGGAATGACTGTAATCTGGTGTAGTTGCTGATACATTGAGCTAGGAATGAGAAGATGTACAATAGGTTCAAGTCAACTCTTTGCAGAGCAAGCTCACTTGTGACATTGTTTCTCAGCTTGTGTTATAGGATTGTTTTGCGGGGACTATGTAAAAAGTGATTCCCACATAAGTTACCTGAAACATCTGCAGGAAAGCAGGATCTGAATGAATCCATAACAATAGCAATGAAAAAAAACCTAAACCAATCAAGGCTAGTAATAGACAAAGGAATAACAGTTTTCATTGCCCAATAAGAAGAGCTGACATTTTGGCCATGTGATTATAACAAGCAATTTACGAAGCAAGGAACCATAAATTGCTTATGGATAATCATATGGTTGCAAACTGGTTGTGTTCCTTGACTTTTAGAGGCGTATGTTCACAGACTGGATTACTAGATTAACGGGAAGAATGGGAGGTTAACTGTACTGTTTATTTTTATTGTAACAGTTTGTTTTCTTGCATAAAATTGGATTTGGAAATACTCAGGAATATGACCACAGAAACTGCTAATAACTACATTGGAACATCAAGAGAAAAAAATGGTTCAGTAACATTTTGAAGGATTGAAATCCTCTTTTTTAGGAAGAAAACTGTTCTGTGCAGAAATTGCTCACAAATTCAGTAGGATGCAAGATCAAAGCAGTAATGGATGGCATAAGGAGAGGTTCTCTTGAAAGGTAAATTGTGCCGTTTGTCCTTTGCTTTGTTTATGCCTATCCACATTGGATTTACTGCTCTAATAGAAATTTTGGGAGTGGATAACACATCTCCATCAGTATCAAAGGCCTTCAAGGTACAGTATGGATCCATATTCACAGCTGCTCCACATGGAGTCCACTAATTAGATCTGATAGCTGTCTTCAAGATGGGAATATCATGGAGAACAGGTTAGTTGCATTGACTCATATTTGAAAATCATGGAGTTGGCGTGCCAAGCTCCTAGAGAGACACTCTAGATACTCTGTAAATTTTTGTCCAATGAGAATGCTTCTTGAAGGCACCATTTCTGCCTCCCTTGCTGACCTAACTCAACTAGTATGGTCCAATGGAACATCGTAGACTTCCAGAGCTGTTATATTTCTCCCTTGCAAATCAGGTCAAGCGTTTTAGCTACAGGATGTACACTTACTTTAGCCATTCTAGTCAGCTTGCCCTAGGAACTGTTTATGAACAGTATAAAGCCAATGTATTAAACGAATGTATTAAACAGCAGAGGACATTCAGGGTACTTGCTATAGAAAGCATCAAGCACAGACAATCTTCTTTGTCATTGCAACATTTTGATCCTTAAAAGCAAATATATAAGCCTAAACCTAACCCTTTTAGACATAGATCCGTACATGCCAAAAGAGATACACCAAACCCTCCAAACAGGAGGGCCTCTTTGCTCCAGAGATTTCTTCCCGCAGAAGCCATCTATTACCTCTGAGAAACAGAAGTTCCATCTCTACTTTGTGTCCCTCCTGCCAGGATCAAAGAAGTTCTGCAAAGGTTTGGCCAGCCATTTCAGTGGTGAAATTCAATTTTTTTTACTACTGGTTCTGTGGGCGTGGCTTGGTGGGCGTGGATTGGTGGGCATGGCAGGGGAAGGATATTGCAAAATCTCCATTCCCACCCCACTCTGGGACCAGCCAGGGGTGGTATTTGCCGGGTTTCTGAACTACTCAAAATTTCCACTACCGGTTCTCCAGAACTTGTCAGAACCCGTTGGATTTCACCCCTGAGCCAATTCATAATCATTTTGCTCCATGAAAAAGTAAAAAAATAAATAATTGGAGGGAACTTCACAGATCCTTTGCATTACATCTATGTTAAGCCATTGTAGGGTCATCAGCTTTTTGGCCCAACCTAGGAAAAAATTAAGAGAAGAATACATTTCTATTAGGGTACAATAGAAACGCAAATGAAAAGATTGCAGAACATGCTTTTTATTTCTAAGCTCCAGTCATTGTTTTTCTGAATAATAATTCTCCAAGTTCATTTTACAATCAAACCATGGAAATACAAAAGAGAAACAGATCAAAGCCATCCAAACGCCAGCAAGAGAACCGACATCAGAAGTATGTTTAAAAATAGGATGCTTGTTTGAGTTTTAGACTACAGAAGCAATTTCTTTGCAGTCTTTTGGGTCTCTCCCCAAAATGCCTTTGTATACAATTCTTTCATAAATTTCTATATATACCTGATCTCCAGGCAATTTTCCTATACGGTATATCAAATATCATCTTGAATTAAATCTGAAACATTTCACCCACTTATGTTGACAAAAACAATACATATAAATTGTGATTACTTTTGGCAAGAGTTTACATTCCTTTCCCTATGAATTGTAGTCACTTTTCCAAGGCCAATCAACAAAAGTTCACACCAGAGATTTTTTCTCAATCCGACCTTCTCTTATTACGGGCCTCATTATATCCCCCTTCCAAACTGTTTCTAGATCAAGGCTTTCCAGATTTGGCAACTTGTGGACTTCAACCAGGGGATTTCAACTCCCAGAATTTCCTACCCAGCATGAGGAATTCTGGGAATTGAAGTCCATAAATCTTAAAGTTGCCAAATCTCTGTTCTAGATTATATGTTGTAAGCCACTCAGAGCCTTTTGGACTCCAACAAATCATCATCATCATCATCATCATCATCGTAATTGTCGTCGTCATCATCGTAATTGTCGTCGTCATCTTACTGATGTTTTTTCACCCTAACCCTGAAGTTGCTAAAGGATTGTGAATTTAGAAATGCAACCTATTTGGACATTGCTACATTGGGTAAAACTAAACTAATTTAATAGCTTCTTAATTTTTGTCCTTCTTAGAGATGCCTGCTTCAATAAGCCATACATTTTCACATCCAGAGCATATATGTGATAGCAGTAAGTCTTATTTAGCTGAAAAAAAGCCAGCTAATTAAAAAAAAAAAATCAAAGTTTTTTATGGTTGAAGGTGAAGTTTTGAGGACATAGTTAGAGAATGGGGTGAAAAGAAAGAAATTGACATGATAGGGCAGATGTATTTTATTAGTTTTATTAACAAAATCCATGGTGCTTACTTGATAAAGAACAGCAGTTTACTCCCTAAAGAATTAGCTTTTTGGTGGAAAAAAGTCACAAAAAACTGTTTCTTCCTAAATATTTAAAAATTATTTCAAGGCTCAGAATAGTATTTCTTTTGAAATACTCTTATTTTGGGTTGGTAAAAATGTACTCAAACAGAACCTGATTCCCTGATTCACCATACAGTTTTCTTGACGGTAATATTAAAGTGATTTGTGATTGCTGCTTGATTTGTGGTGTGTTTGACTGATTTCCCAATTCTAGCTTACAGACCCCGGTTTTTTCTATTTCCAAGTCCTAATCAAGCCAAACCTGTTTAGTTTTCCAGCCCAGATTAAAATCAACCAGATATTGTCTCCCGCAAAGACTGCTAACCCTTACTTGCCAGATTATGGGCTGTATTGGTTTTCCACAGGTCATTGGGGCAGGAGCTGATCCAATACTACATGAAACGTAACACCTTCAATCGATAACAGTCAAAGAATCTTTTCCTGAATCTGGAGCTAGTGATGAAATGATGAAGTTGGAAGGGATTGGAAGGGATGTCATTAGAACCCATGGTTATTATCTCTACCCGGTCACTCTTATTCCTATCTGGAAATTCCAGGGGAATACAGGAAACCATTTTTCATCTTGAAACTTGCATCATGTCACTTGGGGTGACCACAGAGAAGAGCAAGGTCAGCCTATTCTCCAAAGCACCTGAAGGCAGGACAAGAATCAAGGGATGGAAACTAATCAAGGAAAAAACACCATGTAGAAATAAGGAGAAAGTTCCTGACAATTGGAACAATTAATCAGTCTTGCCTCCAGAGGTTGTGGGTGCTCTGGAGGTGTTTAAGGAAAGATTGGACAGCTATTTGTCTAAAAAGACATAGCTCTCCTGCTTGAGCAGTGGGCTGGACTAGAAGACCTCCAAGGTCCCTTCCAACTCTGTTATTTTGTTATTCTGAATTCCCCTCCCCCCCATTTTAGGCAGTTTTCTGTTTCTCATTCAGCCACATTGTGTGAAATGTATAAAAGTCCAAACTACACCATCCCAAACACAAATTTTTAATGGCTTTCTGCTTGCATGCTTGGACTTCTCAAAATATAAACAATTCTTATAAATGCTGTTACAAACCTCAAGCTGCTTGATCCTTGCCCTGTTAAAACAAAGAAACCATCCCACAAACAGTCACCTGAAGAACCCTTCGACGCCTTGTTGTGAAACATTTTAGGGTTCAGAAATAAAAGTGTTTACATTATTTACATTTACGTTGGTTGACCGATTTTGGGTAAAAGCAGCACAAAATAACCCTACCCTCTATGTTTGATTTATAAGAACAAGCCTGCTCTAACTACATGGTGTAAGAACGGTTGCAGGATTTGGGTTTGGCTAGTCTAGAGAAAAGAAGGACCAGGGGGAGAGATGATAGCAGGATTCCGGCATTTGAGGGGCTGCCACCAGAAGGCAGGACAAGAAAAAACGGATGGAAACTAATCAAAGAGAGAAGCAACCTGGAATTAAGGAGAAACTTCCTAACAGTGAGGAGAATTAATCAGTGAGATGAATTGCCTTCAGATGTTCTGGGTGCTCCATCACTGGAGGCTTTTTAAGAAGAGATTGGACAACCATTTCCCTGAAATGCTTTAGGCAGTGGTGGGTTGGCCCCTTGTTTGGACCATCTGATTGCGTCTGAACATCTCAGACTTGATACCTAATTGAGAAGTTGCACAAAGAAATACCGGTTTTCATAAATTTGAGAGTGGAAGAGGTGCTCAACAGAAGATGTTAGCACATACCAGGTGACCGTCTCTTGTCTTCTACACCTTCTAAGTGATGTTGTTAAGTGTATCTGGCTTCCTCACTGACTTTGCTTGTCAGAAGGGTGCAAAGAACGCCCATATGACCCTAGGACACTACAACCGTCATAACTATGAATCAGTTGCCAAGAGTCTGAATTTTGAGCATGTGACCATGGGGATGCCACAATGGTCGTAAGTGTGAAAAATGGTCATACCTTTTTTCCCCACTACTGATGTAATTTCAAACCATCACTAAATGAACTGTCGTAAGTCGAGGATGAACTGTAGTCAGAATGCAGACTATTCTGCTGTTTTGGCGTCCTGTGCATCTAATGATACAGTCTATATTTGGCATAGCAGGAGCTTTGAAGATGCCAAGCGCTCGGATTGTCAGTGAAGTCAGGGGAGACTTTTACTGGGGCTGCCTTCTTCTTCCTCAGCCTGCAACAAAATTGTATGGAAAAAGCATCTTTTTTCCTTCTTCTCCGATGTACAGATTTTCACTGCATGGCTTAGTAAGTCTACACTGGGAGTGTTCCATCCAGTTTTGGTCACCACAATATAAAAAAAGTTGTTGAGACTCTGGAAAGAGTGCAGAGAATAACCACAAAGATGATTGGGGTGGACTGAAAGGCTAAAACACACAAAGAACAGTTGCAGGAACTGGGTATGTCTGGTTTAATGAAAAGAAGGACCAGGAGTGACATAATAGCAGTCCTCCGATATCTCAGGGGCTGCCACAAAGAAGAGGGAGTCAAGCTATTCTCCAAAGCCCCTGAGGGCAGGACAAGAAGCAATGGGTGGAAACTAATCAAGGAGAGAAGCAAACTGAAACTAAGGAAAAATTTCCTGACAGTCAGGACAATTAACCAGTGGAACAACTTGCCTCCAGAAGTTGTGTGTGCCCCATCACTAGAGGCTTTTAAGAAGAGATTGGACAACCATTTGTCTGAAAGGGTGTAGGGTATCTTGCCTGAGCAGAGGGTAGGACTAGAAGACCTCCAAGGTCCCTTCCAACTCTGTATTTAAGTCTCCACCTTAAGTCAACCACTTCTACCAATGCTTTTCCAACAGAACTGCCCCATTTGTAGTGATTTAGCATTACAGAAGCTTTTGAGCCCTTTCTGTAAAATATCTTAAATTTCTATCTTCCAGGCTCAATTAATAAAATAAATTGAATAATTAGGATTTTTATAAAAACTATTCATAGCTGCTTCGCTGACACACACATTTGTGGGTGGGAAGTTTAAAAAAAAGGTTGGAACGACTACTGCTCATTCAATGGGTTGGGTTATAATCTCCCTTTTGCTGGGAGAAGCAATTAAAAAAAAAAAGACGGAGAATTTGGTTTTGTAAACACTTTATGTCACTTGCTTGGAGCAACACTATGGATAGAAACAAGTCTGCACTGAAGTGTTTGGAGTACATTAGCCAAAACAGAATTTTCTTCGGCAATAATCTGTGAGCCACCAAGTCACCTTATCGGGGGAGATGGGCAGGGATGGGATTCAGCTGGTTCGGAACAGTTTGGGCGAACAGGATGTTACTTTTAATCTGGTTCGCCGAACCAGTTGTTCCAAGGACTGGCTGACCCGCCTACCCCACCCCTCCCCTCCCAGAGTCTCCACGCAGCCCATTTTGGATGCCAGGTAAGTGCAGGGCATGCACGGAGGCTCTGGGAGGGTGAAAAATGGGCCTCTGGTGCCTGGGGGAGGCCATTTTCATCTTCTTGGAGGCTCCAGGAAAGCCTGTGGATCCTAGGGAGAGTGAAAAATGAGCCTACCGGAAATACCAGCAGTCCGGAAATGGGCCCATTTCTGGCCTCCAGAGGGCCTCTGGTGCCCGAGGGAGGCCGTTTTCACCTTCCTGGAGGCTCAAGGAAAGCCTCCAGAGCCTGGGGAGGGCAGGAGGCCGAGTAGGTGACGCCCCCATGGCCACTACCCGGTTGCTGAAATTTTTCAATCCCACCCTTGGAGATGGGCATATAAATTTAATCAATAAATAACATTGTTTATGAACAAGTAGCTAAGGACTCTGTGCAGGTTAGGACCTGCTGAAAATCAGCCAACCTGTGGTGGTAGCAAAACTGGGGAGACCTCTGAGAATGTACAGATTATACAACCTCTACCAATAAATAACAAGTCTTTGTCTCTCCTTCCCAGGGAGGGGGGAGGGAGGAAGCGGGGGGGGAGAGAGAGAGAGAGAGAGAGAGAGAGAGAGAGAGAGAGAGAGAGACTCCGTAGAAACCTACCAGGCAGTAATGAAAGACCTGGTTATTGTCCAAGTCTTTGGGGCAGATTGAAGGTGCTTATGGGGCAGATTTGGGATGCTTATGGTTTCTTGTATGTTTCGTTTCTTTCCATTTTACTTTTGAACCATAAGCTGCCCAGAGCTATTAGGGGTCAGGTGGCTTCTGAGCTATATAAATCATCACCATCTTCATCTTCATCATTTATGTAAACACCACCATCTCCAGCTCTTCAAATCATCCTTACATCTTATTCCATTTTATATGGTCCATTATGATGTCTCTCGTGGCTTTCATTCTGGTCCTAACGCTGCTTCTCACTTTCTGTAGGGCTCCTCACATTCTACATTAAAAACTTATCTTTGAGAACTTGGGGAAAAGCAAATCACCCAAAGCTGCTTTTTCCAAAAGGCAACTTACTTGGTCCCCCTCCCACCTTTAAAAACATTTTGCTTTTCATCCAAGAAGCTCCTTCTGCAAATGTTTTCAAAGAAAAAAAACCAAGTAAGTCCAGTTGCCTTTTGGAAAAAAACACCTTTGGAACAAGCGTGAGCTGGACAATTGAGAATCTTCACAGATGGGAAAGCAGATCATTCACACTTTACTGTGGGGTAGATTAAATACACACACAGACCCTTTGATGTAGTGGTTAAAGCATCAGGCTAGAAACTGGGCAATCGTGAGTTGTAGCTCTGTTTTAGGCATGAAGCCAAGTCCGGTGACCTTGGGCCAGTCACTTTCTCTCAGCCCTAGGAAGTAGGCAATGGTGAATCACTTCTGAAAAACCTTGTCAAGAAAACTTCAGGGACTTTTCTAGGCAGTCTCTGAGAATTGTGTGAACAGAAGAAATATATGTATGATGTATGCAAGTATATTTCTTGACATGCACATAATTATGGAGAGTGCCAAATCATGCCCCAATCTGACTGGGGTAGGCCAATCTCGCGAACGGACTCAGAGGAAGTCATCTAGCATGCAAGATGTTCCTAAGGTGAAATTAGTTTTTATGCATCTTTCAAACTGATTTTTTTTTTTTACATCACTGGAAAACCCTAAACACGATTGGCCAGAATCTGCATACATTTCTCCTGGTGCAGAAAAAAACAAACAAACTTTTTTTTTTATTTTTTTGGCTGAGTAATTTGGATTGAAAAAGGTAACAAATCTGCATGAGACACTATCACAACCTTAAAAAGGAGAAGCAATTGCAAAGCAAAGAGGATAAGGCATGGCATGCAATCCAATCAGACCAAAGTGAAACACTGATATGAGATCACCAGGGCTTAGAGCTTCCAGGACAATGGGAAAACAGTCCAGAATGCAAAATAACAGGTCACACCGTGGTCTTGGAATAATACACAAAGTTGTACGCCCCACACCGCTTTGCGTTAAATGTGAGGCTGACCAATCACTGAATTTCTCATCTCCAATCTCTGCTTGAGCTCAGATACCAGAGCTGTGTCTGGTGCAAAGAGAGCTCCCTTTTTCCTTGCCTGCCTATTTACAAACTTAGGGCTCAGGGCTCCTGAAACTGTGGACAATTTCCAGGTGGGTTCCTGGATCTTGAAGAGATGGGCTTGTGACGGGATCGGCACAGACGGTGGTGGGGGCGGCAGAGACGGCGTCTGGGAACTGTTGTTGCTATTCCCGTTCTGCAAGCTGATGGTGTCCTCCTTGACCTTAAATTTCTCTGCAGCGTTGCCAGAGGACTTCTTGAACATCAACCACTCCATCCTAATGGTCCGAGGTTGATAATTTGGCCTTCTTTTGATGATCCGTCGGGCCGGCATGACCCTGGGAGACCTTTTGTTACGCCAGAACATGGCGGTGGAGATGAAAAGGATGATCATCACCATGACCCCGATCAGGCCCGCCAGGACCCCTACGGCCTTCATTGGGTTGTCTTTAGTCTGCATCAGAAAGGCAGCCATTGGTCCTGTGGGAAGAGTCTGCAAAAAAGCACAAAGGGAAGAGATGACATCCTCCAGACCAGGGTGGAGATTTCACTTTCTTTGGTCCTAAACATGTGACAACTAGAATGGACCAACAATCTGAACCAGGAGTGTCAAACTTGCAACCCGCAGGCCGGATGCCTCGTGTGCAGGCCACGCCCACCCCAGCCCCGCGAAGGGAAGAATGTTGCAAAATGTCACGTGACGGCAATGTGACACAGCGAGTTTGACAGCTATGATCTAAACCATTTTGATTTTTGATATTTAAAAATCACAGAGCCTGGGTTCCAACTTGAGCTGGAAAACCTAAAAAATGAAATCCAGACAGTTGTGAGGAAAGGAGAAATATTATCCCCCAAAGCACCGGTTGGAAGGGTTGGGGGTGGGAGGCACCGTACTACGGTGGTTCTCCTCCTTTCTCTCCGACCGGTTGCAGTCTGTGTTGACAGGGGGGCAGAGGTCGACCCCGAGGCCCCTTATATGTGGGGTGCCACAAGGATCGGTCCTCTCGCCCCTTTTGTTCAACATTTATGTGAAGCCGTTGGGCGAGATCATCCGTGGTTTCGGGGTGGAGTACCATCAGTACGCTGACGACACCCAGCTGTACATCTCCACCCCAGACCACCCAACGATGCCCTTGAAGTGATGTCCCGGTGCCTGGAGGCCGTACGGATCTGGATGGGGAGAAACAGGCTCAGACTCAACCCATCCAAGACCGAGTGGCTGTGGTTTCCGACGTCCCGATATAGTCAGCTGGTGCCATCGCTGACTATTGGGGGCGAAGCATTGGCCCCCACGGAGAGGGCTCGCAACTTGGGTGTCCTCCTGGATTCACGGCTGTCTTTAGAAGAGCACTTGATGGCCGTGACCGGGAGGATTTTTCATCAGGTTCGCCTGATCTGCCAGTTGCGTCCCTTTCTGGATCGGGACTCGTTACGCACGGTCACTCATGCCCTCGTCACCTCCCGTCTGGACTATTGTAACGCTCTCTACATGGGGCTCCCCTTGAGGAGCACTCGGAGGCTCCAACTGGCGCAGAGTGCGGCCGCGCGGGTGGTGATGGGAGCGACGTGGCGCTCCCATGTAACGCCCCTCCTGCGCGAGCTGCACTGGCTCCCGGTGGTCTTCCGAGTGCGCTTCAAGGTTTTGGTTATCACCTTTAGAGCGCTCCATGGCTTAGGACCTGGTTATCTACGGGACCGCCTGCTACCACCAATAGCCTCCCACCGACCAGTACGCTCCCATAGAGAGGGGCTCCTCCGGGTGCCATCGGCCAAACAATGTCGACTGGCGGCCCCCAGGGGGAGAGCCTTCTCTGTGGGGGCACCTACTATCTGGAACGAGCTCCCCCTCGAGATACGGAGGATTCCGGATCTGCGTACCTTCCGTCGCGCGCTTAAGACATTCCTATTCCAGCAAGCCGGCCTGACCTAAACTTCTCTGCTTTTAAATGGGAATTTTAAATTTGGTTTTAAATTATTGGGGTTTTAAATATGGTTCAGCCAAATTTATTTAATTTGTTTTATCTCTATTTTAAATTTTGTATTTATATGTTTTATTTTTATGGCTGTTCACCGCCCTGAGTCCTTCGGGAGTAGGGCGGTATACAAATTCAATAAAATGTAAAAAATGTAAATGTAAAGCCAAGAAGGGCAGCTGCAAAGACAAGGGGGACGGAGACATTGTTTCACAGGGGAGCTTGTCCTGGGTGTGGAAGTGGCATAAAACTTCCCACAAGCCCAAAGAGAATCCTGACAGCATTAGGGTGGCAATTATATAATGAAGCAGTTCACCCAGGAATTCACCCAATTGTAGCACTCTGTTCTTTGCTATGCAATGCTGGTAGATGTTGTTAATTGCAAATGGAAATATTCCAGGAAAATTCTTGAAAAGGGTGACCCCATGACGGCTTATAGTACTCTGCCCATTAGCCCAAAGAAGCTGGAGCTTTGAGGAGAAGGAGAACGATATTCCACAAAAATGGTTCAATTATATTTCCTTGGCCTCTGTGTGGAATGCCATCACAGACTCAAACTGAGATAATTTCATATATAGAAGGTACTTATCCTCTCGAGAGTTTTTAATCTCCAGAAAACAATGTTTTTAGAGCAACAGCGAAGAGGATTTTCTAAGCATATTGCTGAATTTTCCATATCAGTTATACTTTGAGGCTCTCAAATCAATTTTCAGTGGCTGAAATTGGGCGTGTTTTGCTTTCCTAGTAGTCTTTTACAGATCCTGACAAAAATAAAACAAAGCACCTTCACACTGAGATAATCCATTTTAGTTGCAGGGACAGTTTTTTTCCTATGGCAAACACCCAGCTCAATTAATATGCACTATAGTCTCTCAAGATATTGTATTAAAGTCAAATGAATGAACAGTTTGCTTAGCAATTTAACACAGAGAGTGTTGTGGTGCTCTCCAAATAATTTCCTGGATTTTGCTCTCAGGATGAAGCCTGGATAGTTTCAATGTTTTCCTGTAGAGGGCAGCAGAGATCACCATCCTTAGGGAAAGGGTAGAAAGAAACTCATTCATGCAGATTGCAAATACTCTCCACTGACCTGTCTACAGGCCTAAACATTTAGATGTTATCCTTGATTTGGTCTGAAAGCAAAATACTGGTAGTCCTCGACTTACGACCACAACTGAGCCCAAAATTTCTGTTGCTAAATGAGTCATTTGCCCCATTTTATGACTTTTCTTGTCTCAGTTGTTAAGTGAATCACTGCAATTGTTAAGTTAGTAACGTCTTTGTTAAGTGAATCTGGCTTCCCCATTGACTTAGCTTGTCAGAAGTTTGCAAAAGGGGATCACGTGACCCCAGGACACTACAACCGTCATAAATAAGAGTCAATTGCCAAGCGTCCAAATCAGTGGTGGGTTGCCCCCGGTTTGGACTGCTTCTATAGAACCGGTAGTAAAACTGGTGGGAGGCTCCGCCCACCGACCCCGAGCGACATCATCAGGAAGCTTCTGCGCATGCACGGCCCCATTGCAAACCGGTAGTAAAGATAAGTAGAACCCACCCCTGGTCCAAATCTTGATCATGTGACCATATGGATGCTACAATGGTTGCAAATGTCAAAAATGGCCATAAGCAGGGGTGAAATTAAGTAGCGGAAATTTTGAGTAGTTCGGAGAACTGGCAAATACCACCTCTGGTTGGCCCCAGTGGGGTGGGAATGGGGATTTTGCAGTATCTTTCCCCTGCCATGCCCACCAAGCCACGCCCACCAAGCCACGCCAACAGAACCGGTAGTAAAAAAATTTGAATTTCACCACTGGTCATAAATCACTTTTTTCAGTGCTGCTGTAACTTCAAATGGTCACTAAATGAATTGTTGTAAATTGAGGATTACGTGTAAAATGGTTCAGTGCATAAACTCTGGGCATAAGGAGAGAGAGCACATTCACGAATCGGATAAAGCCTCAGTCATTGAAATAAGGATATAAACAAGGGAAAAATAAATCCTTATCAGCAATAGTGGAGACAAAGGGTGAAGGTTCCCAGCACCAGAAACACCCCAAATAGGAATAGCCGTAGCCCTTAAGACTTATATACCGCTTCACAGTGCTTTGCAGCCCACTTTAAGCAGTTTACAGAGTCAGCCTATTGCCCCTAACAATCTGGGTCCTCATTTTACCGACCTCAGAAGAACGGTAGGCTGAATCAACCTTGAGCCAGTCAGGATCGAACTGCTAGCAGTGGGCAGAATTAGTCTGCAATGCTGAATTCCAACCACTGGGCAACCAGGGCCCATGCAAATAATGATTCCTCTCTTTTGATAACAATGCTGTCAAATTCCTCTGGCATAATAAACAAAGGTTTATGATATACTTTTCCTCCATTGAGACTTTGCTCAACCCATAAAAAAGGAAGTTTTTGATGTTATCACTAAAACAGCAGAAAAAGATAAGGTGACGGACTCATCAGCTCAACCCATGGATTATAAACAACTAATGTTTGAGTAGAGGGCATGTTTTATTGCTCATTTATTAAATCCAATTTGCTATCTTGGAAAACTCTGTCAACAGCTCGGTTGCTGACATCAGACCAACCTTGTGTCAAGCTACAGATAATAAATAGAATATATAAAAATGGAAGTTAGCCCATGGAATGGAAGACAGGAGCATTCTTGTCATAAATATCTACAATTTTATACATTTTCTGCTAGGAGGAATGAGAAGGCCATTTTGTATAAACCAAGGACCAGAGAGACAGGTGAGCCCTTCCTACCAAAATCTCTTTAAAATGTTTTCTGTCATTCATCTTCGTTGCTTTGGTTGTTGGGAATGTCAGACTGCAGATATATGAGATAAATCTTCTCAGGTACCTTCACATTTGCTCTGTCAACAATTTTTGGAGAAAACTGACAGGTTTTTTTTACCCATCACGGAGAAACTGTGGCCTATTGATTCCATATAGGATGGAAACTTGTATATAACTTAAATGCATTTCAATAAATGCCCATAAATTACCTAGCCTTTTTGGTGTTCATTCAAAATTCTTGTCTGTATTGTAATTATCCTATTTTATCTACATTCATGTGTTGGTTATTTTATAAGATTAATAAGCAGCTTCTTCAGTTAAAAACAACTATTAGAGATGCAAAAATGTAATACTAAATAAACGGAGAGAAAGGAAACAAACATAGCAAAGAGAACCACCGTTAAAAATCACTCACTGAATCAGATTATAGAAAAAATTCAGACAGAAAATAGGTTCATAACCCAAACTTTGCTCCTGGAGTGTGTATTTCCAGTTTTTACTCCAGAATTAGTGAGGAAAGAGAAGAGTTTAGTTGGACCCAAGAGAGGTTCTGATGGCCACCATGTTTTTAAGAGTATTCAGCCGCCTTTCAAACTGCACTGGGAGCAGCTTGGATTTCCCCTGCAATATTTCAATGGCTGGCTTAGAGGAAATCAGTCTTTAAGTTACTTTGGGTTTACAATGTTTTAGGGTTTCCAAGGCCGTGATGTAAGTACTAATA